ACACAAGGCAATCAAAAAGATAAAATGAAGAAAAGAGATAGATAGATAGATAGATAGATAGATAGATAGATAGATAGAAAGAAATAAAGAGAATGGGAGAGAGAGGTAAGAGAAAGAAGATAGACGGGGGGCAGTAGAGAGAGAGAGAGAGAGAGAGAGAACTTGTGAACAGTGTTATGCGGTTTAATTTAATCAAAATCAATACATTAATCAATTTGTCTGATCGAACTTACTTGATCCAATTTAACCGGGCGTACTTTTTTTTTCTCTATTTATCCCAAATATTTTGGACGTTCTTCAAAAATGATCAAAAAATGAAAGAAAAAATCCAAATACTCGAAACACGAAAGAAATGCTGGAAAATAAATTAAAACGTTTAGAAAAAAAAAAAAGAAACAAAGAAAACCAAAAAACTAACAACACACACGCGCAAATAAAAATATGTATGTGTGCATATGTGTAAGTGTGTGTAAGTGTGTGTAAGTATATGTGTATACAGTAGAGTTAATGCTGAAAAATTCTCGGTCCAAGCAGGTTGTCCACTCTCCATAAAAATTAAATTTGTTGCTTAGAAATTTGTTCAAAATATTTGAAAGTGCATTGACCCGAGATATTTTCAGCATCCCCTATATTCATATATACAAGCGCGAATTTGTAAAACAGTGACTACTACTTCTGATAATGCAAAGCTCTGAATTGAGCACTCTCGGTCACTGGCGTGTTTATTCAAAGAATAAACCAGCAAAAAATTCGGCTTCCTCTCTACTGGATAGCTCAGAAGTATAATCTCCGACTGATGCTATATCAGTCGGGTTTCGATCCCGGCTTGAGGCACTCGCATGTCTAGACACACTGATGAGCTGTGATACAGCGAAACCGTCTGTGTGTGGATGACAATATATATATATATATATATATATATATATATTGCCATCCATATTTACTATTATAAAATAATAGTAAAGTGTTAAAGAACAACGCGATCAAACTAAGTATGTCAAAGGAAAAACAAACAAACATGAAAGACTAAAGAAAAGGAATAGATCAAAAAATTCCATACAACAAAATTATGGAAAGAAGCAAAAAAGAAAAAAGATCTACTTACGTAGACCTGAAGTACCCAATGGCTCTAGAAATTTAGCGATGATTAAGTTAGAGAGAGAGACAGAACAGTAACACTAAACGTAACTCAGTTTCATACAATGTTATTGTCTTTTCCTCTGACGATCTGCTTCTGATTCCCTGATCTATCTATCTATCTATCTATCTATCTATATATATATATATATATATATATATAATGTGTATGATTTCAAATATATATATATATACTTTGTATTTTATGCGAGGTCTGATAAAAAAGTATCAGGATTCGGGCCACAATAAAGAAGCATACAACACGTATCACTTCGGCATTTAATCGTCCCTGTTTGAAATCACACACATTATCCAACGGAGTTTCCATCAATGAATGTAACCCCAAATCTCCTTTATTTTTTTGAGAGCATGCCGCTGCCCCGTCGTGTTATCTTGGATTGCCATGTAGTAGTACACAATTAAATCCAAAATGACCTCATTTCAACCGATGAAAACTTCGCCAGTCTTATTCAACCCCGGTATATAGACTGAGTTCGTGTTGGAATTAGAAATTTAACTGTGACGGCCGTCGAAAAAGTTATGAAGAATTTATCCTTTTGAATGTTTCAGTCAGACGAAAGGTACGAGACTGTGGTCAGAGGAGGGTGAAAGGTATTAGTCTTAAAGGGAAGAGGTTTTATAAAATTAAACCCGGATATTAACCTTAGAACATTAAATTGGTGTTATCTGAAGAATGAACTGTTAATCTGAAACTAAGAGAGGAACGAAAAGTTTTCTGTTTAATTTTTATAGATTAATATAGATTAATTCCTACTCTTCCAAAGATAAGTTATATTTAAAAATAAGAATATTAAAATAAATAAAAAAGTTATATTTATATAATTAATATTAAAATTAAGTAAAATTATATTTTAAAATATATATAATTAATAAAAAACATAAAAACATGCAAAACATAATATATATTTATAAGAAGGTGTGATAAAAAGAAAGTGAGTTCTTAGAACAGATTTAATTAACAAGGTGTAAAAATGAAAATATAGAAATTAGAATGAGTTATACATTCGTCATGTCAGTGTGAGAGAAACATAGTAGCTAATAAATTAAAATCTATATTATGGAAATATAACAAAAAGCCTTATATATAAACGTTGGCCTTTTCAACCCTGGACCATACGCCAGGGTGAATAAGGTCAACGCTGGTTAAAATAAATTCATACCAACATGAGGTAACCTTGGACTTTTTTTTTGATATGTAATTTATATGCTCTGTTATAATAAATACATTGAGCTCTCTTTGTGGATCAGTTTTAATATTTGATATTATTAGGATCCATATTGATTATAAACCAACGGATCTATTAAATTAATTCGATGTCTAATTTGAGTTTAAGAGCGAACTATTTCTATAAAAAAAGATTTCTAAAACGATTTCTAAAATCTTTAATCTTGTGAAGGTTTTTTTTTATATTTATATCTAACTCTGAACTAATTCCGCTAGCGAAGTCCTTTTGAAACGAAATGACTGTTCCGACGTCGTACATATATTCATAAAAATACACGGGCGCACGATATGAAAATCCTTGAATCCGTCAGCTGATATCCTGATGTTCTTAAATTTGATCTAAAATATTCACTGTATAATGCTCAGTCGCTCTTGTTAATATTTACTAAATTCTTTTAATCATTTCACCACAAGTTATGCACTGGCACATCAGGGGTTACTGAATGTGAAAGAATAAAAAAAAGATAGAGAACAACAATAAACATGAATTAATTAAAAAGAAGATAAGGATTGATATTACATTTAAATTTTTGAAGATCAAAATTGGCTGGAAAGTATGCAACCAGAAGAGATTTGCACAAGCGAGAAGTGTTATAGAAGAAAGCTTTAGCATAGAACTTACGGTTACATCTAGCTATTTCAACAGTAAAATGATGTGACCTTACCGCCAATCTAGTACTGCGGTTAAATTTCTAAATTCTTGGTACCATAGAGGAAAGCTCATCAGTACAATTACCATGAAAATATTCATAGGAGAGAGACTGGAACGTTACATTACGGCGATGGGAATATGACTGAAACCAAGATGCCAGGTCAGGACCAATAACATTGCGAATTCTTCTTTGGATTTTATCAAGAATCTCTAGATATATACTTGGAGCAACGGGCCATTTGTGGTAGCAATATTCAAACTATGGACTAATGTTTGACTTAGAATATGTAAGATAGATTCTGGAGAAAAAATCGAACATGACACTGAACCAACTGTCTTAGCAGCAGACCTAGGAATTGATTCAATATAATCTTTTTCATTTCACTCTCCTGGAGGTTAACATCAGCCTTGATAAAGGTATAAAAGGTCTTTCTGATAATTAATAGAGATAAGTTTCGTTTTGGAGACGTTAAATTTAACAAGTTATTCCTTGCTCCACTTAATAACAGATTGTATATAATCTTTAAGTTCAGCTGCCAATTTGACCTGATGGCACTGTTAGAGCATACTGTTGATACAAGTAAATAGTTGAGTCCTTAGCATAGATAACGAATTGAGAACTGATGCCATGAGGAAGTCATTGATGAAAATCAGCAAAATACTACCATGTGTTGAGGACCAACTTTTTTTTCTGTTTGAGAAGAAAGTTCCACTCGAACAGCTTCTTCCCACAATCTGTTATTTTGTGGAACCGATTCCTAAGAAGATGTTTCCTCGATTACTACACTCATAATCTGTACGTGACTAGGGTTAATCGTTGATTTTTTCACGTACCCACATAAACTGCGCCGCATTACGCTAACATGACAACGCCCCACTTTTATTAACCCTTTATCTCGAGTGGCTATTTGTTTTTTTGTATGAGGAAAATTAGTAAAAGATAAAATAAGCACATCGAAACAGAAATATCATATGGAATGCTGAACGATTTCCAAAGCATTAAAGAGAGTTATTCTACAGAAGGATGCTGAGAATATCATGGACGTAGCATTTGAGTAACGAGGAAGTTTTTGGGAAACTCGGAAATCACAATAAGAAGAAAAGAGAGATTGAAGAATGATACGCATAGGACAATGAAGGCAAGATGGTAAAAAACCACGATTAATCAACTTAACATGTTTTGTAAATGTATAGCAGAACAGGAGCTGGAAATATAATGAAGAGACAAACATTGCTTAGCGCTCGATAGGAAGTTGTGGAGACTCATGGTCGCTGACGTTCTGAAAGGAGACGACAAACAAGAGACGAAGAATTAAAAAAAGACAATGTTGGAAAGCGAATACATGTAGAAAATAAATGCTTTTCTTTTTAAAGCATTATGTTACGGACTTATTGATACACCTATGTAGATATATATATATATATATATATGTGTATGCCTGAACATGTATGTAATTATGGGAGGGGGGTGTAAAACAAGTTAATGAAATGGGTGCGGCAAAAGATGATTTAATTAAAAAAAAATCGCTCCATTTCAGATGTTGACGCTGGACTGTATTTATATTTCAATGGCGGCAATTGAGTTTGAATTAGTCTGTGACGTTCAGGGCCGTTTCTTTTCAAACGGCTCATAATGTGATCAGAACTTATGTCCAGGCGACCAAGCGTTATTAATTTATTCTTTGAAAGAACCAAAAATTGGTAGAAAGTTACCAGATATCGTTGCCTTTCTTTTCCTCTTTGGCTTTTCCATATTCCTTTCTTTCTCTCTTGTTTGTATTTCGTTTTTCTCCATTTTTGATTCAACCCTTACTTTTTTATCATTTCAAAGTCATTTTTAGATTTCGTTAATGAATACGTTATGTTTATCTCTGTTCTTCCTTGTTGCTTATAACATTTTAGCTCCTTTTATATGACTTTTATTACTCATAAAGACAACAATTTCATTCTTACTATTTCTACTTCATGTTCTTTTCTTTCTTTCTTTCTTTCTTTCTTTCTTTCCTTCTTTCTTTCTTTCTTTCTTTAATTCTCTCTTTTTCTCTTTCTATTTACAACACTTTTCTTTCTTTTTCGTTCTTTTTTATTAACTTTTTCTCTCGTTGTAGCATTTTAACGCTTATTTTTTTTACTTTAGTATTTATTAGCATCTTTTTTCTTTCTTTCTTTCTTATTATTCATTTTGTTTTTCTTTCTTTCGCATTGTATAATTCGTTTTTTCTTCTTTTCATTAATTATTATTTTCTTTGATTCTATCTATCTATCTATCTATCTATCAAATTTTAGTGCATATTTGCTTCCTTTTTATATTTATTTACACCTTTCTTTTTCTTTCTTTCTTTCTTTCTTTCTTTCTTTCTTTCTTTCTTTCTTTGGGTGTCTCATCTATGCTTGAGTAATCATTTACTTTCTTTCTTTTTAATGTATAAATACATTTCTTTTTGTTTCTTATCTATATATCTATATATTCACATACGTATGTCAGTTTAATTCTTTTCCTATCTATCTATCTATCTATCTATCTATCTATCTATCTATCTATCTCATTTCACCATCCATTTCCTTCCCCTTCTTGTTTTTTTTACCATCCATTTCCTTCCCTTCTTTCTTTTTTTTTTTCTTTCTTTCTTTCTTTCTTTCTTTCTTTCTTTCTTTCTTTCTTTTGTATATATTATACCTACATTGACTATTTTCTTACTTCCTACCACCACTGACTGTTTCTTTCAGACTTCATTTTCTTCTTAATTTTAGACCCCCATCTCTTTTTATCCTGAAAAACCGTTTTATTTTCTGTTTAGCTTTTAGCCAACATGTTCTTCTCATAAAACATCCTTATCTTCTTCATATTCTGTACTGTCTTGAAATTACTTAAGGAACAAACATTTCCAGTTGCTTTGAAATTATCGTTAAATACAACTATTGCACCCTAAACAAGGTGGGAACAACTTTACCATCAAAGATTAAGTTCAAAAGCACATAACAAAATATTTATAAATTAATAATGAATTTCTTTATCAAATATTTAGATCGGGTTCATTTCCTTCCAGCTTAACTAAAGCCAGCAATGAAGTCAGTTTCTTTTTTGAGACATTAATATAACTGCTATGTCTTTGCATCAAAATCACATTATGTTTATAGTGTAAAAATTGACAGTTCGTGCGCATGCACAACTTCCAAAGTACTTCCTGTTGCGTTCGACTTCGTTTTAAAGAGACAACAAAGGTTTGTGAGTGCAACTGTATCTTTGTATTCGACTTGCTAGCCTGAAATCAGCGAAAGCGTCGCTTTTAACAAAATTGAATCAAAATGCCGAATTAATCGTTTTCCTTCATTTTTCTGATCAGCGACGATAAAAGAAGAAAGGAAAAAGGAATAGATTATGATTCGAATTTCTTAGGCCGAGCATAGTCAGCCATTATTAAAATTTGACTCGTATATATTTCATCGGAATCAATAACAAAAACACAACGAACCACACTCTAGCGAAACCTTCGACCAAGGAGGGGGCATTTTTGGAGCCCGGTTGTGGCCTCTGCCATTTTTTTTTCACAACTGTCGTATGGCCATCCGCCATTTAAAAATTATTTTTAAACTGACGTTACATTGTTAGTCATCGAGAGCAAATAGGAGTGATAGAGGAAAGGATGAAGAGAAGGATAGGGGATAGATCAAGGCATCTGGAGACGTCGATTAACATTACATTTGAATAGTTGGAGATTATAGCTATCAGGGAAACAGGAAAAGAGGAGGGAGTTCCACAGGCGAGAAATGCGAGACATGAAGCTATTAGCGTAGAAGAGAAGCCTATATTTAACAATTTCGACAGTGAAAGGGTGAGAGCGAGATGCCAGCCTAGTTGAACGCTTAAATTCATGAAGTCTGGGAACCATCGCAAACAGCTCATCGGAGCAGTTACCATGAAAGTATTTTTAAAAAAGACAGAGGGAGGCGACGGCACGTCTGTGAGAGAGCGACTGCAGACTACATGCCAGATCAAGGCCAATTACAATGTATATCCGTCTCTTGATTTTATCAAGAACCTTGAGACAAACAGAAGGGGCTCCAGACCATGTATGGCAGCAATACTCCATGCAAAGGAGAATGGTTGATTTGTAGATTTGAAGGATTGTCTCCGGCGAGAAAAAATTCCTGGCGCGGCACAGGGAGCCAACTTTCTTTGCATTGGACGAAGCTATTGACTCAATGTATTTGTTCCATTTCAGGTCAGCAGTCAATAATAATATACATCGTGTATCCGCATGGCCGGTACGGTGCGTACTGCGCAGATTGGCCCCCCAAAAGGGATAGATTCAGCAGCATTATTTTTTGTAATTTTAACTTTTTTTAATACCTAAGTTATATTGTCAATCATCATCTATAATAATCGACAGGGTCGGTGCTTACCTACCCAGAATCTATCAACCATGTGGGGGCCCCATACCTAATGGGCAGTGGGGTCAGAATTGCTAATTTTAGTCGCGCATATTTTTTGAAATTGTAATTTTCTTTCTGAACAGTTCTTTTAAATCAATTAACAGAATAATTCTAACATATCTCGATAAAATCATATTTTGTTCCAAGATCACCCACTAAGGCGGAGCTCTGATTTTTTTTTTACTTATAATAATACTAACATGAAGTCTACTGTTAGTAATTAATATAAAATTTCTAGACTTCATTTTTTACATTTCTAGAAAGATAAATCTGAGGAAATGATCGCTTAAAAAAATTAATATTTAAAGATTCCAAGACATGAAAAATTTTCCCGAAAACGGAACTACTGTTTGGAAGACAAATTTTTAAGACAATCCCGTTTGTGTTGTGTTGGAATCTTTGTAAAACTTTTTTTTTTTTTCAGCAGAGATGCATCGGTGATTAATCTTTATGGAAATGTAAAAAATTGCGAATTTTTTTCGGGTAAAATTTAGTTATGATAATATTGGTGATACTAAAAAAATAACATTTTCTTAAATTTTTAAAATAAAAAAACCTATTCCTTATAAAAGTCGATAATTAATGAATATTTACTGAATTTATTATTTAAACTTATTTATTCGAGTATATGTAAATATTGGGTATTTATATTTGAGTCTTGTAAGCATTTACTTGTTTTGGGGATAAGTACATATTGTACGTTTATATTTAAGTCAATAATAGCACTTGTTTGGAGACAGGTAAATATGAAACATTTATATATATGTCTATAAATGACCTGGACTTACCGATATGGAATCGATATGGAATCGTCAAGCCCAGGTCATTTCATTATACGCGAGGGAAATCATGTCATTCGCGTTTCTCTCACGGCTCTTGTTAAAATCGCGTCGTAGACTAAGCCATCTTGCCTTGGTTGGGAACCAGCCTAGGATAAAGCGGACTGTCATTTGAAAACCACGGTAAAGCCACCGGTAAATCTACTACTACCTTTTCTAAGGACAATCATAGCGAGTCATATATAAATACTAAAGTAAATTGTTGAAGGTGGTTCGCTGCATTTTGTTTGTGTGTTTGTTTAGCGGAATATAAACAGCTTATGGGTCATTAATACCTATTTTAAAATTTGTTTTGAGAATTTGTAATTTCTTTAAAAAATGTATTGTTGGAAATTCTTTCTTACGATGAAAATTTATTGTTGGCATTTTTACTATAAAAATGTTAATATTTTCATAGTGTTTTGAGCCCAGTTTGGGGAGAACTATTTGCCAATACCTGGGACCCTAATGTTGCATCTTCTCTCTCGGCCGTTGATCGCTAGATATGTTAGAGGCGATAATGAATGACATCAAAATCATTTAATCATTTAATTTAGCCATTTTATTAATGTCGACATGTACTAACTAACCAGTGTGGGTCGTTCCCCCACAGTGGGGAGCCGTTTCAGACAGGAAAGACAACACGTCTACATTGCTTGACGGTTAAGATTCGACTTGTTGAAACATTTCCCCTATCTCTTTCCAACGTTAGCTCAGCCAATCAAAATCGACTTCCCATATTGTTGTAACGTAGGGAAAGCTACTGAATAAAATAATCACACCAAGGTTGGTAATGAACGATAATAATTAGGACAAGAACAACACATAGGATTCGCCAGTGGCGCGTAGAAGAAGTTGTCAATTGCTAGAAGTGAGTCAAGTGAATATCACAATGAATCTCCAACACTAGGATATTTACCAAGCGCCCCACGCGGTCAGATGTGGGACAAGGCAGAATTTAATGTGGGGTGCTTGAGTTCATAGGTTCGAGCAAAAATTCCCCGTAGACCCCGTATAAAACGGGGTCGGTAGCTGATTCCTGAGATGAGATTCTGCTCTTCGACATAAACTTATCTGGAGATCCTCTCTGTCCGGAGGCAGAGAGTTTGACCAGCACAACTGGAGACGAATCTCCGATTGCAGGATATCTACCAACCGTCCCACGCGGTCAGATGTGTCACAAGGCCGAATATAACGCGAGGTATCCGAGCCCGTAGGCTCGGCGAAAAATTCTCCGTAGACCCCGTATAAAACGGGGTCGTGTAGCTGTTTCCCTAGACGAGACTCTGTCCTTCGACATAGCCTCGTCTGCGGATTCACTCTGCCCGGGGGCAGAGAGTTTGACCAGCGCAGCTGATGATGAAACTCCGATTGCAGACCCACATACAGTATTTACTACTGTATTTATGTGAAGGGTGGCATATCCATTATCGTCCGTATTATGGCTTGTATCTGATCCCATGAAGTGAGAGCAGAGACGAATCTCCTCTAAAAAAATAATAGCCTCCTAAACTATTATTTAACACTAACAGGTGCCACCACCCTGCGTCAGAGTGAACCTTGAAGTAACAGCAATTAAGAGGTGGTTCCACGCTCCTCAAAACCTCCTCTAATCGGTGTAGTTTATCGTCATATCCAGGATGTACGCTACAGGTCTTAGTCGTGAAGGTTAGGGTTGTCGAAACTAAGGAATACTTTTCATAGCAACAGCGCTAGAGTAGCAAAAGACTTGCAACATTTCATCTGTAGGAAAGGGATTTCAGGGTGAAAAATAATTCATCCCCCACCAAGAAAACCGCGTAGACGCTTTTTAAACAATGTCGAGAAAATAGCAGGGCACAGTAAGCTCTCTGTCTTTGGTTGGGAACCAGCCTATGACAAAGAGGACTATCATTTCAAAACCAGGGAAAACGTTCCGGAAAACCACTTAATGCCTTTTCTAAGAACACGCATAGCGAGAGTCAAATATTAATTGTAAAGGAATTTGTTTATCGGTTTACTCACGGTACATGTCGTATAAAAAATGGGTCACACAGTGAGGATCAAATACACTGATCTATTACTTATGCGGGGTTTGTAAAGATGCACGTTTCTGGACGACGTCAAACTTATGTGGACGATTTTCCTTTTATTTTCTTTACAAAATTTGTCTCTCGAAAGTGAAAAGTTATCTTTTTCTTTCCCTTTTCAGTGAATTTTGTTTTATTAAGAAAAAGGCTGAAGAGGTGGGCAACACTTTTGGCTGTGGAGTAACAAGTGCACCGGCTGGTGTTTGATCAATAAACGCTTCATAATACAAAACTATTCTCAAAAGAGACTTTATTAAATACTCCAGGCTACGTGTTTTGTTTTTTGATATTTTTATTTCATAAAAAAGCCTTTTGATTACCTCTCTGTTTGTTTCTTTTCTTTGTTTCTTTGTCCTTTTGTTTTTTTCTTCGTTATTCATCTCTTCTCCAGTAAACTTTCTTTCTCTCGTTTACGTATTTCATCATTGCTTGATTAATCAATCAATTTTTCTTTCTTTCTTTCTTTCTTTCTTTCTTTCTTTCTTTTACGTGTCTTGTGGAATCTTTCTTTCTTACTCATTTCTTTCTGTCTCTTATCTTCCTTTATTTGTCGTGTTTTATCTCGCGTCAGTAATCTTTCTTTCTTTCTTTCTTTCTTTCTGTCCTAATTCTTTCTTTCTTTTTTCTACGTGTTTCACCTCTTCTTCAGTAAACTTTCTTTTTCTCGTTTACGTATTTCATCATTGCTTGATTAATCAATCAATCAATCAATCTTTCTTTCTTTCTTTCTTTTTTTTTCTTTCTTTCTTTCTTTCTTTCTTTTACGTGTCTCATCTATGTCTTGTGTAATCTTTCTTTCTTACTCTTTTCTTTCTGTCTCTTATCTTCCTTTATTTGTCGTGTTTTATCTGCGCGTCAGTAATCTTTCTTTCTTTCTTTCTTTCTTTCTTTCTTTCTACGTGTTTCACTTCTCCATGAGTCAAGTTCCTTTCTTTTACGTCTTTGTCTTTCTTTCTTACTTTCTTTCTTTCTTTCTTTCTTTCTTTCTGTCTTTTTACTTTCTTTTTGTTTTGTACTTGTTTCTTCTATGCTTGACTAATCTTTCTTTCATGCTTTCCTTCGTTTTTTTCTTTTTCTTCGTGTTTTATCTATGCTCGAGTAATCTTCCTTTCTTTCTTTCTTTCTTTCTTTCTTTTTTCTTTCATTTTTTCTTTCTTTTACGTGTTTTATCCATGCTTGAGTAATCTGTCTTTCTTACTGTTTTCTTTCTGTCTCTTATCTTTATTTATCGTGTTTCATCTGGGCGTGAGTAATCATTCTTTCTTTCTTTCTTTATTTCTTTCTTATTTCTATGTGTTGCACCTCTCCTTGAGTCAACTTTCTTTCTTCTACGTGTTTTATATATGCTTGACTAATCTTTCTTTCCTTCGTTCTTTCTTTCTTTTACGTGTTTTATCTCTGCTTACGTAATCATTGTTTGTTTCTTTGTTTGTTTGTTTGTTTGTTTCTTTCTTTCTTCTGTCTGTTTTATTTATGATCAAATAATTATTGCTTGTTAATTTATTTTCCTGTTTCTTTCTTTCTTATCCGGGTTATATCTGCGCTCCGATTATTCTTTCTTTCTTTCTTTCTTTCTTTCTTTCTTCTTGTTAGATCGATTGTAAAGTAAATCGTCTTTCTTTCTTTTTCTTTCTTTCTTCTTCTTGTTTGATCGATTCTAAAGTAATTTTTGTTTCTTTGTTTCTTTGTTTGTTTGTTTGTTTGTTTCTTTCTTCTTCTTTGATCGATTCTAAAGTAATTTTTCTTTCTTTCTTTTTTTCTTTCTTTCTTTTACTACATATTTTATCTATTTTCAATTAATTTTTCTTTCTTTTACTTTTTTTGCGATGAACGTTGAAAATGCTTAGTAGAATAACGATTGGCCGCAGTATGGTGCAGCAGAATTTAGTGATATCAGAGATACATTGATATATACACAAGAGACCAATGGTGTGGATAGATATTGTCAGAATAGCATTAGGGAGATAGGCCTTTGCATGGATACTTATAGTAATTGATCCTTAGGGGACTAAAAGTACCGAGATAAAAGTCTGCGATAAATTAACTCATCGTTGGTGTCAAGTCTGGTGTGTGTGTGTGTGTGTGTGTGAGCGTGTGTTTGAGTGTGTGTGTGTGAGTGTGTGTGAGTGTGTGTTAGTGTTTGTGTTTGAGTGTTTGTTTGAGTGTGTGTATGTGTGTGTGTGTGTGTGTGAGTGTATGTGTGTGTTTCAAATTAGTTAACAATCGTTCGTAAAATAGTACGAATCAATGTACTAACTGTATATTCAATTCAGTTTCATTTATTGCATATGTTGACCCTAGATTTGAGGTTAAAAATCTTTATTTTATAATATGTCACATGTAGAGATTGTAATAGGTTTTCGTCACTCATCCGAAAAGGAATTAACCAAACAGATCAATAAAGATCATCACTTATAAAATTTCCAGGGAGAATGCAGTCTTAACATTTTTCACTCCAAGAAAGTATTAAAGCCCTTAAGACACAAGAGGTTGCTGGGTGTGGAATAACTAAAAAACAGAAACATTACTCAGGAGCAAGAACAAAAGAAGAGTAACCTTTCCTTTTCCAACATTTGGGGCATTCGTACCAACTTCGAAAAAATTCCGGATATCTTAGCTCTCTGCGAAACTAGCCTTAACTTTTCAATCCGCTTCTCGGATTTCTCGATTCCTGGCTACCTTTCTCTCCTTAGAAAGGAACTCTAAAGTCCACATGTATGGTCTGAGAGTTTGTGCCAGCGAACATCTCTCGCTGGCTATGGAACACATTCTTGAATCTCCAGATTATTCTTACATGTGTCCCCGTCTCTCTCTACTTAACTCAGTCAGCTATCTCTTCTTTCTCTAACGTTCCCCTTCCTTTCACAACTGTTGAGTGCTAGATAGTATTTCCGATAATATAGAGAGGACCATTTCCCTACACTCGTTTGCAAACATATTCGCATTCGGTGACTTAAACACTCTGTTAATAACCTCACTGGCATCCAAATCCTTAAATTTTCAATCACACAATCTCTCGCAAGTGGTTGACTAAACTACGCGCTTCACCAGTTACCCTGACGAAAACACCGCTCTTCTCGATCTCTTTTTTACCTCTATCCCTGACTCATGTCGTGTTCTGCAACTCTTCCCTCTTGGCAACTCTGATCATACGGTAATATCAGTTGACATCTCCTTCCACTCCCCCACCAGATAAGAGCCTCCGACCAGCAGAGTATCCTTCTGTTATGGAAAGAGGCTTTTAATCATCTTGTTAAAAAAAAAATGCGCGTCTGAGGTCTCTTCCTGAGTGAAAACCGGCATCGATTGTTTTATTCCAGCAAGGAAGTAACAAGTTAAATCGCGTTCATTTTCTTGGTTCTCATCTGCATGCTCAGCTGCGATAACCCACAGGGATCACCTTTTCCGTCTGTACCAGAGCGACACGTCTGATTGCAACAGACGTCTCTTTGTCTCTGATCGTAACGACGGCAGGCTGTTCTCAATGAAGCGAAGCTATTGTTTGCTGGCCAGTTGACCCTGACGATCTGTATAGATGAAACCTAGGTAGGTTTACCTGGCTCTTTAGGTTCATATATATATATATATATATATATATATATATATATATATATATATATATATATAGTTGTATATTTAGGCAGCAATCCTCTCTTTATGCATGTTTCATTAAAAACGACAGACAAGGTACTACGGTTAAGTTTTTATTTAATTTTTCTTGTGTTCTAACAAGAGCTTTCTTTTCTGGACAAAGGGTGTGTCAGAACTGTCCAAATGTTTTATATTTTCGAGCGCTTTCGGCTATACCTTTAGCAATTATAAAGGATGATTTGATTTTTCAGCTTAATTGAGTGTGTGCGTTCTGTGTATGTCTTAGTGTGTGATAGGGATGTTTTTAATATACATGTTATAGAATATATTTTATATAGTAATATATAGAATTATATATAGGCCATATTAATAGAGATAAACTGTTAAAAGTGTTTTTATTTAAGTTTTTATTATTGATGGCAGTGCAACGAGTGAGCAGGTTTGAAACAGCTTAATACCTTCATTTGCGACTGCGTGCCTTTGTAAATTGCTTGCTGTGGCACGTTTGTCACGCGTGCCCGAGGTTCCCGGCACCTTATTTAAACCATAGCTGACTGAAAAAAATAATTGTTGGACTTTGTACATTTTATAATACAATAATATGTAAACCACATTAATAGAGATAAACTGTTAAAAGTGTTTTTTTTAAAGTTTTTATTATTAATGTGAGTCCAACGTGTGAGCAGTTTTGAAGCAGCTAAATATCTTTGTGTTGTAGTCGTTATTTTTCTGACTTCGTGATGTCATTTGCGTCTTGGTGCCATTAGAAACTCCTTTCCGTGGCACACGTGACACGCGTGCCGTAGGTTGCCGGCTCCTGATTTAAGACATGAAGAATTAATTGTCGGACTTTGTCCATTTCATAATACAATAATATTAAAAACAAAATTAATAGAGATAAACTGTTTTTATTATTAATGGGAGTGAAACGAGTGCGCCGTTTTGAAACTGCTTAATATCGTTGTAGTAGTTACTGGTTCGGATAATAATGTCATTTGCAGCTGCGTGCCATTGGAAATTGCTTGGCGTGCCCTATGTGGCACGCGACCCGTTGGTTGCCGATGCTTATTTTTAGATTAGCTTTCTTCTGACATCCTCAAACATCGTAGTTTATCTGAATATATTAATCATAATAATAATAATTAATATTATTATTCTAGATGTGGGGTCGGCAAACCTTTTTCTGACTATGTGTCGATTTAGTGTTTTAAAATCATTCACATTCGTCAACAGTCCTTTTTTTTGGTGGAGTAGCTGAATACCACCACAAGATGGTCTTGTCTAAGACGATTTAAACAGCACCCTCTCACTGAGAGAGATGAGTTAACGATTAATCGCTACTTTTCTTGTCGACTTTCTGCCTTCAGACAGGAAGGAACACAGACGAAGCTATGCCTAAGGACAGAGTCTCGTCTGGGGAGGTAGATATTCACTCGACTCCATGTATGCGGGGTCGACGGGAATTTTTGTCCGTGCGTACGCATTCGGAAAGCCCCACATTAAAAACCGATCTGTGCCACATCCCTCTTTGTCGGCAGGTCTCGGGTAAATACGAGGAATTACCGAAAACCGTTTCTTACATTAGTCTGTGTTCTCAACCGTGTACCAAATTATTCTCCGGAATAAGCTATTTCGAATTTTTTACATGTGTGTCAGCCTTTCCTTTTTAAGACGCAACACTTTTGGACAGGGGTAAATGTTTATCTCTTGATTCCTGTTTACGATTGGGTTTCCGGTTCCTTCTGAATTCTTCTCGTTCTCTTTCACTCTCAGTAATTCTTTGTGTCTTAGTGGCATTATCGCCTAACTTGAGGTGAACTGATAACAAAAAAGGTTAATTTCAGAAAATAAGAGAGAATATTTCTGAAATAGGAAAGTTTGAAGGGTGCTGAAATTCAGTTATGGTACACATTGAAAAAAAACAAAAAAAAACAAAAAAAACATTGCCGACAAAATGGGACATATCTATTGCCGACGAAATGGGACATATCTATTGCCGACAAATAATTTTCTACTCGAATACGAGCCAACAGAAGCATTAATACACACGAGTTTGTGTAAGCGCATTCTAATGAATGTTACTCACGAAAAGCTAGATACACGAGCGTCTGAAATATTGTATCTGTGTAAAAGTTCGCCTTTTCTGATGATTCGCAATTCCCCCTGAATAATGTGGGCAGCAACGTATATGTCTGTCATTCGTTTTGGGGAAGTGATTAGACGAGAATGCACTATGGGGAAAGAAGCAGCTCCTGGAGAATTTTGGCCATGCTCTGTCGGGAAACACCTCGTTTATCATTCATATGGAAGATATCTATTATGTAACACCAATCTCAGCTAAACTATCAGGTAGTTATGTGACATGCGTGGTACACGCTTAGGCGATCCTGTATCTTTCGATACATGATTTCGTCAAAATTTTCGCCGGATTTTTTTTTCCTGTAGTAGATCAACTAAACTGAAGATCCTGTATTACTCTTTATGGTCACATACCTCTACAAAAAAGTTGGTATGTTTTTTTTTTACTACATACGAATAGAAAGACCAAGTGTACGGGTTGAATAGGGTCTATCGTCAGTGGTAATACATTTGCGAAGCGGTCGAACCTGGTTTATTCGGGTGAATTGGTATGCGAAACTGTACTGGTCCAGAGCTTACATCCAACTTTCATACATGACTCCAAGAAGTCACATGGGCATTCCGACGGCTACACCCCGGTCAACGTCATCGACCTGCCGTCTAAACTGTGTGCGGGTAATCGGAAGGGTTTCCCGACCTGGCCGGTGTAAGGGAAGGCTTCTCCCGAATCCACCTGTGGCAAGCGGCCATCGTTCATTAGCTAGTATGGGCGTAGGAGCTGAGCCTCAAATGTCAACGGCTTTAGCAACGGTCGGAGGAACTTCTAAGAGGAGGCACGGAGTCAACATAACATCCCTGGTAGAAAAGATACCGGCAAACCCTTGCATTATTTTACCTTGAATGTCACTATGAACCACAACTGCAACAGAAGTATGGGAGAGTGGTGATTACAGCGACGCAATATGCGCGCTAACTGAATAAATGATGAGGAAGGCCAAACATCCACTTAAGCTAGTGGGTTACTAAATGAGATTGTTACATGAACGGAGCTGTTAGAAGTGTGGAGTAAGTACATGTTCTTAATATACGTATTATATGTTGTATATGTAACGGTTGACTCTAGACTTGAAGAGGTCAAAGTTCTTTTCCGGCTTCTTGCTTTCCAGTCAACGTTGGT